GAATTAATTCCGCATTTGCAGATCGCTCCTCCTGAATTAATGATGAACAAGTATAATGAAATTCGACTTGTTGTTCCAGAGTTTGTATGCAGCATGATTATTGGTAAACAGGGGATGAATGTTAAGAACATTCAAAAAGACTTTCGGTCGTTCGTGCAAGTCCATAAGGATCCGCTTCCTTATTCCTCAGAATTTGTCGTGTCATTAACGAACAAAGATGTGAGTTGTCTCGCTGGGTCCGTTAATAGGATCTACGAGTCAATCCAGAGTATCAAGAGTATCTCCCATGTTACCATGTTCAATCCTATTGTGTGGTATCCTGGTGAATTTGGTGACACCGGAAGCTACACTGAGGAGATAAACTTAAGAGGGAGAGGTCCCCAGGCCCAGGTTTATCCTGAACCAGAAGAGCCAAGATATTATCGTGAACAGCCTAGATACCAGGATGACAGCAGGATGCGTAGGTCACAAGGCTACAGCAATCATCGACAGAACGACCATAGCTATGATGATTATGAGCCATCAAATAGGCCACACCAAAACGGTCACAACATGAGGGGTCACAATATGAGGGGTCACAACAATATGAGAGGTCAAAATTACCAGAGAGGACAGAATATGAGAGGGAGAGGTTATCACGGTAGAGGTTCGGCTGGTGGTAGAGCCAATGGGAAAACTAGGGGCATGCAGAGAATTGAGTATCGACCAGATCCTGACAGTGAACATCAAAATAGGAATTCTGAGGATGTAAATGCCGATAACGCCGATGACACCGTTATCCCAAGACGACCCAAAGGTTTCAGAGGCAGATCTTGAGCTTTGACGACAGAAATTTGTTATCTTAATTTGCAAAGTTTGTTATCACATTATGCATAGTACCATGAATATTAGTCAACTATTTCCTTAATTACAATGTTTGTTTTTACATAATTATGTGTACTAGATTATACTGTAGCTTTTTTCATAAAGTGAGCTGCTTTGCGACGCCAAGACCGACAGCTTAATATTATTAATAAACTTATATTAATCTATTAATCGTTATTTTATCAAAATATGTTATTATATCTAATATATTATTGATAGCGAACGTGTTGCAGTTTGGGGGAAGTGTTTATGACCTATTTTGACCAACTCTTTGAAATAAATTAGCTGCTAAGTACTGATTTGAAGCCTCTAGTTAATGAAGGCTTGAAGGCCAAGACCAAGGGGGGTTAGCGATCACGATGTGCATAATTTGACTACAAATTTTCCAATTACTATCAAGATCATAATCGGCTTAATCTGTACAATTAAAAAACTAAGAAAAGTCTTTTCTCTATGTGCATTGTACAAAGACGGTCATGGTCATTCATTAAAAACACTTCTTTCAACTATATCGAGAGAAAAGATGATTATGAACTTTAAACTATCATAATATTATATTGATTAAATAATTTGCAGATTATAGTATAATACACTGCATGAATGCGACAGTTTCAAGGTTTGAACGCTAATTTCAGTTCTTTAGGGAGTTCTGATTAATTTCATATTGTAATTTTTCGAGTCGAGTCCCGTGTTAATCGATTTTTCGTCGTTAATTTCGTTTTTGCAAAAATACTGAAAACGGATTTGCCCATAATATTTAAAGGGAATTTCCTTTCAGCATCAAAATATTGTGCTATGTTATTATAATTTTCTTGGACGAAGTTGTTCTATTTTTTTTGAGTTGAAGATATCAAATTCCCAATTGTTATAATTATGTTTGAAAGTTGTGATACATTGTACATGAAGTTTACATGATCAACCAAGTAACATTTTCTTGTCTTTGCATGAATTGGAATATGTAGTGTAATGGCAGTATAAGTAATGTAGTAATGTAGTGCAGTAATGTAGTGTAGTAATGTAGTGTAGTAATGTAGTGTAGTAATGTAGTGTAGTAATGTAGTGTAGTAATGTAGTATAGTAATGTAGTAATGTAGTGTAGTAATGTAGTGTAGTAATGTAGTGTAGTAATGTAGTGTAGAAATGTAGTGTAGTAATGTAGTAATGTAGTAATGTAGTGTAGTAATGTAGTGTAGTAATGTAGTGCAGTAATGTAGTGTAGTAATGTAGTGTACAGTAATGTAGTGTACAGTAATGTAGTGTAGTAATGTAGTGTAGTAATGTAGTGTAGTAATGTAGTGTAATAATGTAGTGTTGTAATGTAGTGTAGTAATGTAGTGTAGTAATGTAGTGTAGTAATGTAGTGTAGTAATGTAGTGTAATAATGTAGTGTTGTAATGTAGTGTAGTAATGTAGTGTAGTAATGTAGTGTAGTTATGTAGTGTAGTAATGTAGTGTAGTAACTTAGTAATGTAGTGTAGTAATGTAGTGTAGTAATGTAGTGTAGTAATATAGTGTAGTAATGTAGTTTTGTAATGTAGTGTAGTAATGTAGTGCAGAGGCACATATTAGGTGCGGTAAAAAAATCGAAATTATGCGGTACCGCACCCGACTATAAAGGTAAAATGTGCGGTAAGGTGCGGTAAATTTTTACCAATTATGCGGCAAATGTGCGACGATTTTTTGAAATTTGTGCGGGAATTGTGCGGTTTTCTTTTGCATTTTCTGAAGGACTTTGGAAATTCTAAACGTATAACCGCCGCTCTTATCAAAAATAGGTCTGTTTATGTGTTACTGAGGGTGTAGATGATTGAACCTATATTGAGATTCAGTTATCTGAGAACAGTGACTTGATCTGGTAGAGATCAGGAGACAGTTATTTGAAGACGCCTCTTGATAGAGTCGATTAGATCCCATGCGTGATCGCAAATATGTGACACGCTTGTTGGCATTGATCGTCAGTACTTGTAAACCATTTGATCCAAGATCCATTAAGCCCACTATAAAGCCAACGCTACAACGAATAGAGCTCATTACCCGATAAAAAGGGCTGCAGGTATGATCGAAGTACGGTAACGACGAGGGTTCCATAACGGCCTGGGTCACGGTCCCGAAAGGGCCTGGGTAACGGTCCCGAAAGGGCCTGGGTAACGGTCCCGAAAGGGCCTGGGTTATGGTCCCGAAAGGGCCTGGGTCACGTGGTAACCGGGTCACGTGGCCCAGGCATGAGTTCCAAAAGGGCCTGGGACACGGTCCCGAAAGGGCCTGGGTCACGTGGTAACTGGGTCACGTGGCCTAGGTATGAGTTCCAAAAGGGCCTGGGTCACGGTCCCGAAAGGGCCTGGGTCAGGGTCCCGAAAGGGCCTGGGTCACGTGGTAACTGGGTCACGTGGCCTAGGTATGAGTTCCAAAAGGGCCTTGGTCACGGTCCCGAAAGGGCCTGAGTCACGGTCCTAAAAGGGCCTGAGTCACGGTCCAAAAAGGGCCCGACTTTTAACATATTTTGGTTTTTACACTCGAAAATCTTAACGCGAAAATTTCAAAATTACGCGAAATTACGCGGAAAATGCTAATTATGCGGAAATATGCAGAAAATTACAAAATGTGCGGAAGTGTGCGGAAAACAATAAATTATGCGGAAATGTGCGGAAAACGGTTAATTGTGCGATCCCGCACCCATCGCACCTAATATGTGCCTCTGATGTAGTGTAGTAATGTAGTGTAGTAATGTAGTGTACAGTAATGTAGTTTTGTAATGTAGTGTAGTAATGTAGTGTAGTAATGTAGTGTAGTAATGTAGTGTACAGTAATGTAGTTTTGTAATGTAGTGTAGTAATGTAGTGTAGTAATGTAGTGTAGTAATGTAGTGTAGTAATGTAGTGTAGTAATGTAGTGTAGTAATGTAGTGTACAGTAATGTAGTTTTGTAATGTAGTGTAGTAATGTAGTGTAGTAATGTAGTGTAGTAATGTAGTGTAGTAATGTAGTGTAGTAATGTAGTGTAGTAATTTAGTGTACAGTAATGTAGTGTATAGTAATGTAGTGTAGTAATGTAGTGTAGTAATGTAGTGTAGTAATGTAGTGTAGTAATGTAGTGTACAGTAATGTAGTGTAGTAATGTAGTGTAGTAATGTAGTGTAGTAATGTAGTGTAGTAATGTAGTGTACAGTAATGTAGTGTAATAATGTAGTGTTGTAATGTATTGTACAGTAATGTAGTGTAGTACTAATGTAGTGTAGTAATGTAGTGTAGTAATGTAGTGTAGTAGTGTAGTGTAGTAATGTAGTGACATGGCACTAAATTTAGGTTTAATTTTAAGAACTTTTCCGAATATAGACTTTTTCTAATCGGTGCAATGAGAACCGAAATTTATTGACCATGTCCAAACCTCTCATAATACGGTTTCTTAAAATCAGACCCAATTTAAATTGATTTTAGGTGGTAGTTCATACCTTACAAGACTTTTTTATAATGTACGAAATGTGACGGTTTTCCCGAAATTTCGCCATATTTTCGGACCGCCAAAATTTCGGTCGTCGTAATAGAATCCGTCGCATTATTTTTAGCTTATTCCAATAATTGTGGCTTCATCGATTCATTTTGTTCTTGAAAAGTTAGTGATATGATGGTGGGACAAATAAACACAATATTCCATGATGAATTTAATGTCAAGTAATACGTTTTAAATTTACAATAAATTACATTTATGTGCTAACATAAACGTCTTATAAGAGACTAAGTCAAGATAAACAATTTAATACCAAACTCAATAAGTGAAACTGAAAGAGTCGAGCCGGACCCCTTAGAGGAAGATGAAGAAATCGATTTATAAGTTTCATTTTGTTTCAACATGATTTTACCGATTTTTAGAAAATTTTGAATTTCCTTTGTGTCAGAAAACAAAATGATGAAAAATACCCTTATTTTCTGTGACGTCCGAAATGTGACGGTTTTTGTTCAATTTCGCCATATTTTCGGACCGCCAAAATTTCGGTCGTCGCAAATTGGTCCGCCACAAAAATGTCTTGTAAGGTAATAGTTTCGACAAAATCAACAACAAATAACCAATGCGACTGGCTAATATATATATATTATCTTCCAATTTCCATCTGTCTAACCCCTCTAACTGCTCCTTATTATATTCTGATAGGATAATATGTAAAGTATGTAAAACATGTAACTTGGCTGGCTAAATGATTGTGTGATGAGTTTTATCCTGTTTTCGTCTGTACCTAGTCTGCCAGTCGTGTTCAAGCAGTGTGACACCAAGACTGTTGATATTGTTCACGCTTACCTCCAGAACATTCTAGCTAAATCAAACTCCTCCCTGGCATCATCTCATATCCAGGTGAGTTATATTTCAAGAGGACACCCATTCTTGATATAATGCTTGAAATTTTCATTAGCTGGGAAAATACAATCCCGTTTTCGGGGTTTAGCTACTTGCATGAAACAGCTGCACACTAGTAACACAATTTGGTTAATCAGCATTTCAGCACTGTGTTAGCCTTTATGTAACTTGTGCTGAGTGTTGACAGGTCTTGTGCTTGTTTAGCCACTACTCTGGTGCCACTTTATCAAATCTAATCTGTAACTATGTTTAGATCTTTAGATTTTAGTCATACCAGGGGTGTAGGAATGATTTTCTTCATGGGGGGGCCAAATTCAAAATTTTTTTTGGCGCTTCGCGCCACACCCTAAATTTTTTGGCGCTTCGCGCCAAATCCTGAATTTCGAGGGTAAGGGCAAAAGGAAATTGCAGCATGTGCGGTATCGCGATTTTTCACGTTTGCCGCGACAAATCGCGATTTTTCAGATTCTGGCCTCACGACAAATCGCGATTTTTTTCAGTTCTCCGCGTCAAATTGCGCATTTTCCTTTAAATCTACGGACCAAATTCTCGTTTTCTATAATTAGTATATGAAACCAATCAGTATCGCATCCACAACCTTCCGAATGTAGGAACGGACTTCAAAAAACCGAAAACAGAAAAATATATTTTCGGCTCAGAATGATCAAGGTAGCATGAAACATGAACTAAAGTAATTTCCAGAAAAACTTTGAAAAATTTTGACCTAGAAAATTTTTGGTCCTTGTCATTCTCGATACGTACCTCTGAAAGCAGAGCTCCCGCTTCCGAGCTCGTATTGCGAAGGGGAGGCCTGCCTTCCGAGATCGCATTACAAAGGGGAACCCTCGAGTCCAAAAACATACATCGAACTTCGAAAACCAAAAAAAATATTTTTGGCTCATAATGGTCAGGGTAGCATGAAACATGAACAAAAGTAGTTTCCAGAAAAACTTTGAAAAATTTTGACTTAGAAAATTTTCGGTCCTTGTCATTCTCGATACGTACCTCTGAAAGCAGAGCTCCCGCTTCCGAGCTCGTATTGCGGAAGGGAGGCCTGCCTTCCGAGATCGCATTACAAAGGGGAACCCTCGAGTCCAAAAACATACATCGAACTTCGAAAACCAAAAAAAATATTTTTGGCTCATAATGGTCAGGGTAGCATGAAACATGAACAAAAGTAGTTTCCAGAAAAACTTTGAAAAATTTTGACCTAGAAAATTTTTGACTAAATAAATTTTCGGGGAAAAAATTTTTTTCCCAAAAATTTTTAGAAACCTAAATTAAAAAGTTGGCCCTTTTTGGCCCCTTGCCCAGATTTCATGGGGGGGGGGGGGGGGGGGGGGGGCGATGGCCCCCCCTGCCCCCCCGCTTCCTACACCCCTGAGTCATACACAATATTATATTTGTTGTTCTAAAAGGAAGGAACGTATCAAAACTGGAACCTTACATCAAGCTCATTACAGGCTCTAAACCAAGATGGTATCTCAATCTCACTCTACTACAGAAGCGTAAAGGATGAGACCAGTACCTATATCGTGTGTTTTATCTGTGATGGTACAGCCCTCCTCTCTCCCTTTTACCATGAGCTGGACAAGTACACTGATACTTTGGTGGAACATCTTGCTGACCCTGAATCTTATCTCCTACGATGGTGGGCGAACTTATCATAACTTTAACGCAACTGTGTCTCAACATGAATCATAATTGTTGATACATGCTATTTTCTTGAATCAGGGGCCTCAAATGAAATTTATATTGTAATAAATTGACTGTCTTCAAATGTTGTACTTTACCGTCCATTTAAAAATTTTTTCAGGCAGTTCAATTGTATTGAGTATGTCTTAAGAGTGGTGGATTACTTTAAAAATGATCTGTCTCCCCTGCTGTACATAGCTTTGTCGAGGAATAATATCGAGATTCTGGCCAGCAATCCAAACAGTCAGATCGTCAGGGACACTCATCTGTTTATTTCATCCTGCAGTCTCAAGGTACGTTGAAATCTTTCAACTTGAACTGTTGCCGTTATTCTAGTTATTAAGATTTGATCATTCCATAGTAATTGCTCTTCAATCGTTATCTTGATCGTATGAATAAAATAAACATACCGAAGCTGAAAGGGTTTTTATCGTACGAATTACTTTCCATTAATTTAATCCTTACCAGGAACTAATGTACAACACAGAAGTGGTATTTGAGCCGTGTACAAATGCCGAGGAAAACACAGTAATGATAGAGTTTGATAACAAAATAGTGAACTACGAATCTAACAAGTTCTGCTCGTGAGTGTGTTTTCAACAGTCATCTTTGCTGTGACTTTTATTACTTAACTTATCGTAGTAGTTAAACTGGTTAACGTGTGTTTCACGTGTGTTTTAATGATGATATTTGATCTCACAAAATCCCGAGGGCCGGGTCGGTTAGGTTACAAACTACTCATTTGTTACATTACTTGATATCTGAATCATAATCATCTGGGCAACTTATATCCATACATCCATCCCCTTTATCTTGAATTTGTCGTTGAACATTCCCAACCATATTATTTAATTAATATAATAATAATATAATAATTCAATAATGTAATAATGTAATTAATATAATAATTTCAGAAAATGGGCCTCAATGATCGAATCAGAGTTTGATGCGTATGTAGTGCGGCAAAAGCTAGAAGACTATAAGATAGCAGCGAACGAGGATCTGAACACATTCCGCAGATTGTTGCACCTAGCTGAGGCTGACCACTATGCATTCTTTCAGGTAAATACCATTATTAAACAGTTAAATTAGCTTCTTGTATTTTGGTTAATCTACCGAGACCCGAGGGCTTGTTGACTCAATATAAGCTAAGACTGTGCCCGCACTGCACTTATTAATATTGTAAGACTTTTTAAAGTAATCCATATCATCTCAGGGTTACGAGTTTATAAAGCTGCACGATAACGGGAAGATACTATTTGAGATGCTATCTCATGAGAGTATGGTGTACAGTCTAGAGAGTCTTGAGAACCTACTCAATATTCTTCAGAAGTTTAGACTCTATAAGGACTCTGTTACGTTGAACAAATCCTCTGTATCCTCATAGCATCTTGTAACATTAGATTTCTTAGTCCATTATAATAATATATAGTTTTTATCTGTTCATATATATCAGATTGATTATCGTGTGAATATTATGTTGCCCGAATTATGTGTACTGTGTAGTTCCGACTGTACAGCTATGTATTTTCCTGACTTAAATTGCTGTGTTCTTGCTCTTAACTTACTAATCCTGATATTTGTATGAAAGCGAATAGATTTGATAGGTTCTTTATCTTTTTAAATTAGATTCAGGAATCAATTTCATTCAATTTTTCTCCTTGCGCCGAGAAATCTAGTGGCGAATATTATGACGTAATAATATTATGTTTTTAACGTTTTAAAATATTTTCATGTACCATTTTGACGTATTAAATAAACTTATATTTCGACATAATATATTAGTGATAGTTGATTTTCGTGAAACAATTTTTGGGATTTAATTTTGTGTTACTAATAGTACCTATACAATTTATCTATTTAATATCACAAATTAGCAGTTTTAATGCTTATCGATGAATTCCTGTTTTATTTAATTATTAAATAATTTGTACTTTTGATATTTACTACTACGGCCAAAACTATAGCGCTATTTTATCGAGCTTTCCGATTTTTAGAATTAGTTCAATCAATAGAGCATCTAGTTCTCATCATTTTTTAAAGCATCGAATACTCTATATTATTATATGATATATATATATATCAAACATTAACCTGTATCTATACATTTATAAGCAATAAACATATTCATTAGTTCAGGCAACGGAAGAATGATCTCTATTAATTCTATCAATAATAGTCAAGTAAAAGCGCTTACACAATGTCTTAACCTTGTTCTAACAACTGAGCGGCAGCTAGAACCCTGGATATGTGACACAATCTCCGACAATATCCGGTCTGTACTGGACTCCTACCCAAACAAAGCATCTTCCGATCAGAAGTTCGTATCTTCTCTACGAGATATTATCCACACTAATATCTACAACGTTAAGTTACAGCTACAGGTCGCTAAATTGGTATTGCATCGCTTTGATTTCAGCTTGAACGAAACATACGATGTTCTTGTGCATCTTGATCAGTTCCCTGCAGAAACATTAGATATCTGTACATTGGACATCATGAAGTATCTCATGATGCGGTCTGATGCGTCTTGTGTATTTAATACGATGTTAAAGACAATAAAAGAATCTGCTGTAAGTAGTTTGAACAATTATCTCAGAAAAGCGAGTGTGTCCTGGCTAGCTAGATACTGTACTGTCTTCTTCCAGGAGGATCATGAGTTTGTTCATAGGACTTTGAAGGATGAATTGGACGATAGGTTTCTGTGCGATGTTTTGATTGCTATTTACGAAACTGATAATGATTGTCAGAATTTCGCAGTTCAAATTGTAAACAAATATTTCCCTCGTTTGATTTCTCCTGTTAGTGAGGGATTTAAACTTTTGAACAAGATACGAGCGCATATGGTCTTTCAAAGTCTGAGTGATGCCCCGGAATCTTCTAACGATTCTCAAGCTATTGAATATGCAAAACTAAATTACGATGACACGGATCTGTACAACCAGTCATTTTATCGAGAACTTTTCGATTTATCAGTATCCTCTCAGAAATTAAAGGCAACGGAGAAGATTGTAGCCAACATTTGTAAAGCTCAAAACATAGTGATCTTATCTGTTGTATCAAACTCAGTTTTGTCTGAAAAGAATTGTCCCGAACAAGCCGATTTTTTTTGGGGAGAAATGCTGCAGAATCAATTTGCTTCACATAAATTACTGCAGAGAACAATGGACATTATCTACAATGACTGTGCCAACATGAGGGAACAGCGATGTGCTCTATCAATTCTCAGTGATATTATCGACAAAGAGGAACTCGTCAGTATCATAGCCTCTTCAGATGTCTGCCATCACTACTCTATATGTGATGAGGTCAACTACACATGTTTCATGTCTACATTCTTTACTTATCTCAAGGAATGCTCGGTGGATTCGTTTGCCATGCTTTCTGATTTGACTCCTAAATTGAGCAATCTCTCAGAATTTGCAAACTCCTGTGATCTTCTCCAGACGCAGCTCACTAAATTGTTGCTTCAAAAGCTTATAAATGGTGATTCTCGTGTCCGTGATCTTGCGTTAGATCTTGTTGGGAAACTTGACCAATCCCTAGTGGATTCGTCAGTTGTCAAACACATTCTGGCCGCTTCCTACACCGATGAAGACTACTATATAAAATCATCTTGCTTTAAGGTTTTGTCAGATTTCCATAGCGTTAAGCTTTCTAATGGTCTTGATGCTACCCCACCGCTTTACACATTGAATAAGATCATAACATGCATTGAACATGATGATTCAATGGTGACGATATCATTCTTCCAATTTTTAGAAAAGCACTATAACCTTGTAAGTGAACTTATTCAGAAAAATGTTGATGTCATAGCGAACGAGTGTAAATTGAAAACAAAGGGCTCAAAACTGGACCAAGATAATGATCAGAACAGACACCTTGATGTTGATAAAGTAATACACGAGGTATGTGATTCTGGTGACTGTGCTGACGTTTCTCTGATTGCAGCATACCATGAGAAAGAAGCTGTAATCAGCTCTTCTCAGCCTGAAGAGCAGCTGGTATCTGGGATCTTTAGATTGCTGGGCTCAGATAGATGTGATGTAGAGCGTATGAAGGCTTCTCTCGAGCTCATGACGGTCATTGTAAGGAGTCTCCATGAAGTTGAGAAAAGCATTGCCATTAAATTCATGGAACGTGGTTATTTTGAGATGGTAGAGAGCTTTAACAGTCCTTTCTTGAATCAAACAATCAGGGAATTCAGCTGTGTGTTGGAGGGTGCTAGAGTGTTTCCAGAACTGGAGACCCCAAAGAATCAAAATTTGATGACAGTCCTTACTTTGTTGAAGGCAACTCCAGACCCGGATCTTCATATGGATTGTTATTGAATTTATATTGAGATTTTATCATTTAAAAATTAGTGATGTTTTATTTTATTTTGTCATCTTATTGTTTTAATCATGATCTCTATTATCAAGTTTATTACAATATGGTAACTCGCTTTTTAATTTATCAATTATATTTAAAATCGTTATTCTATAATATCCCCTTTATAAAGTAATTAATTAAAGGTGTTTTCTTCAAAAGTTAGGATTCAAAATTTCAATAATACGGATTGAAATTTAAATTATCACGTACATAATAAATATTGTAGGTATTGATTTCGAGTATGGCAAACGACATTGACGCATACTGGGAGTACCACAAGATAGTTGGTGATGAAGTGGGTGACACGCTGCTCACACCCCAACAATTTGAGGAATACAAGAAGAAAGTAGTTCCAGAACGAATGAAGAACAGACTATACGTGAGCTGGAGAGTAGAGGGAGGTATAGATTGTGAGCTGGTAGGACCGGAGAGTATGTGTCACTGTCAGCACCGGTACCGGCAGCACCACACAGATAACCCCCAGAGGAACACTAAGTGTAAGAACTGCAGATGTAAGAAGTATGAGTTCGTACCCCGAATGGGCTCCCAGCCAGCCCGGTGCAAATGTAAGCACTATTCCACTGATCATGATCTGAAGAAAGAGTGTAATAAGTGCACGTGCACCTCCATGCGTATCACCTTGTCATGTCCCTGTGGGAGTCCTGCGTATCTTCACTATACTTGTCTTGAAACTAAAGAGGAGCGACTTGCTGCGGGAAAGCCAGTGGGGCAGGATGTACCGTATGCTGCTATGGGAGGGTTAACAGGGTTCAGTTCACTGGCACCTGGTTACATGAGATTTGATCCAAGTGGGGCCAGAGGGGACTCTGTGGACTTACAGCCTGACACAGTTGCTAGGTCGTCCCATCAGAGGTACTGAACCTGAACAATCTAATTCCAGTTTACGAGTCACTCAAAGTTTAGGCTCTGGAGAACGGTCAAAATCAGGGCTGTTATTTATACTCAAGCCTTAGTAAATTATATTTGTACCTTATAATGGCAGGCCGTTATAATATTATAATAATATTCTATAATCAGTGTGTAATAGTTGTAAATATGTAAATATTTGAACAGAGTATAAATGTATGTTTATAAATATTTGATTTCCCTTTTATAACATCATATTATTATGAATAATGTACATAACATAATGCATACTTCAGAATAACAAAATATGTATACAAAATTCCCGTGTTCCAGTGTTTTAAAAATGCTTGTCATGTTTTATAGTACAATTAGATTTGAAACATCACACAGTGATTTATATAGTATGTTTATCAAACAGACGAATCCGCAAAATAGTTATCGATTGATTATCTTTATAGACTGTTCAAATTTCCAGCTAACCCACTTATTTGATGCGATTAAATGATTAAATAATTAGACCAGACATAGTGTTCAATGCTACCAATTTAACTAACAATGAAACGCACATTTGCAAGGCTTGCTCAATACATGCGCTTCACCTTACAATTTACATAGCTGTTTAAACTTTATATAACAGCCCACGATATTATTGAGATTGTAACTTTACCTACTTCATGATAGCGAATACAGACACACTCTATGTAGAAGGAAGACGACCAGATAATCATGTCAGAGCACTGGGAGCATTACGAGAACAAGCTCAAACACGAAAACTTCAACCCCAAAGAGTGTAAGACCCTTTTTTATTTCATTGTTCTTACCTACCTAAGCTGTTACGGATACACGAAAAACTTATTTATAAAAACCATCCTTAGTTTTTAATTGTACTCGTAATCTTCGTGGCTTACACTTAAATCACGAATATTTCCTTAAATTATAACGGACTTATTATTTCAGTTGTGCAGCAGCTGTGCAAGAATCTCGACAATGCTCAAGATCTCTACAGTGTCAAGAAGGTAGTTGAGGGTATCAAACAGACACATGCCACGGATTTGAAGAAAAATGTCTACAAAAACTATGGACAGTTTATTCAGACAAGCAAAGAGATCACCTACCTCGAGGCTGAAATGTACAAACTTGGCCACCTCCTGACCGAACAGAAAGCGCTGATATCCTCCCTTACTGATGATAACATAACTTCAGAGAAAAACGAAGCTTTGGACATCTCTATCACGGAAGATTTGAGTATAGCCAAGATTTGTGAGCTTGTCCAAGGAGCAGGTGTGCTTCATGACATCCCGGGCAGGAAGATGATACATAATGGCAATCTGGTGGAACTTGGAGAAGATGAGCGGCATATTAGGCTCTTTCTCATGAACGACTGCATCATGAGTGCTGCTCCGACAAAGAGTGCGTGGATGTCAGAAGCTTACAAAATGGTGGATTTGTTGGAACTGAAGAATGTTACCGTCATGGATGTTCAAGATCAGAAGCTGTGTTTTAAAGTTACCCAATACCCTGCCAACATGTTTTTGTACAGAGCTGAAACAGAGCAGAAAAGAATAGAATGGGTTTCCCTGATAAAGCGGGCTCAACAAGACCTAAAAGAAGCAGTGGGGGATCGTCCAGACATAGAACTGAAACAATCAAGAGATGAAATGATTGAGGGGACTTGGGAAGAGAACCAACGAAGAACTAAATTTAGAATTGAAGCTCTTTTAGAACTACCCGAGCAACTTGATGTCTGCATTGCTCAAAGAGATTTTGAAAATGCTGTAAGAAAGTTAAGGGATGCCAAGCCAGACATAGCCAAACTGGACCAGTCGAATCACGGCCCAGAAATTAAAGCCAGAATAGACAGCAGGCTACGACAGCTGACCGAAATGTTGACTGAAGTTAACATGGGTTCAGGAATGTATGCCCACGGTAAAGCCAGCAAGAAGCCTGTCAAACAACTTTTACTTTTAGAAAAGGTCACGCAGGCTACATCCTTGTTTCTACGAAACAAGTCAACTAACCTGAAGATGAGCATCCGGAGGATTAAGATGGAGGGAACCATGACACTTTACATCACAAAACTAAGCCAAACATTCTTCAGCACTGTTGCAGCTGTGGGGACGGAATTCAAGGCTGTTTTCAGTAACACTGAAGCAGGTTGTATGCCATCCTATGTATCATGGGTAGAGTCGGAGCTGGAATGGTTTGCTGACATGTTCTCCCGACAGGTATTCCCTCAGGGTAGCGTGGTGGGACATGGTGTTGCAGGTGAATGTGTCTCCATCGCTCTCAAGCATGCTGATCAGCTGAGTATGAATGGTCTGGATATCAGTTTCCTGATGTCCAGACTGCTGCAACCTGGAATTTCAGAGACTCTCAAGAGAAATCACATCCAGATCATGGAGGCGAGTCAGCTGAGAGCCAAGGAAGAACATTGGAAGAAATGTGAGTTCAGTAGACAGACTGGGGACATCAAGAAGTTAGACGACCTACTTAAAACTTACAATGTGGATCTCTCCAAATACTGTGTCTCCACTGGTGACGACAAGATTTACGTGACCCTGTGCCACAGCGTCATCAGCTTTGTTCGCTCTTTTCACTCCTACCTTAATGATGCTAAGAAAATGTACAACGTCCGTGTCAAGAAACAACTGATCGACTCGATAACCAGCTGTTTGCAATTCCAAGCATTCCAGCTGAAGTTAGCTCCGCCTGATGAGGAGATACGGACAGTAGTCAGCTCCAGTGATATGTTCATGAACAAGGAGTTCATACCTGCTGTCATTACTTTCTTAGAGACACAAGTTACTCAGCAGCCCGTACCTCAGATTAGAAGTATTCTTGATATGAATGATATGCTCTGATTGACGTTCTAGATTTGTTGCTAAGGGAATTTAGTTTCTTATGACTCTTGAATTTCATTAAAAATTTGATGCAGTTTGTTAATAACATGAAAATGACGTTGTTAATGAATGTACATACAGTGATAAAGTGTAAATTGATACAAATTGTCTAATTGCGTAGATATTTGAAGGACACGTTAAACGCTTTAATTGATTTGTAAAATATGTTACAGTGTCTTGCATCGTTCTTCGCAAATTGATGAAGTGAATATTTTATTACGGTGTCTTTTCTGTAATCGAGTTGCTTAATTTAAAATTCGATCGAGCTTTTTTGCTCTGTGATTGGTTTATAACTCGTAGCTCCTAAAATTAATCACTCATAATATCCTACCAGAAAACAATTCCTAAAGAAGTGTTGAAAATATATAATATATTATCAACACTTCTTTGTTATATATAATAACATTTTAAATCTTATAGTGTAGTGATTTGACGTTCAATAATTTTTTTTGTTACGTGATTGCACATTTGCTCGAGTCGAAAGTAATCCTAAAATACACAAATACGCTGCAAAAGGTAATAAAACTGTTATCGATAATTGATTGATTGCCGAGAAGCACTAGCCGGAGTCCCGAGTCATAACTCTGCACTAACACCTTAAAAAGTTAAAATCTCAAATTACAATAAATTTAGAAATAGACACACATGATATAAAATATATAATAACACTACGTATTATATTAGGAAATTTGAATAATTTTCATTTCTTGGTTGATGTGATCATCTTCATCCTCGTGTACACTTGTATGAGCTTGGAGAAGCATCATGAGCGGGCGTTGCCAGGTAAATGGCTATCCCGTGAATGGAAGCTTAGTAGTTTTTCCCCATTTCTTTACAGAAAATTAGAACAGTGACACAAGGTCTGAAAGAATGCGCACAGATATTTCATAATAATACATGCTACATAATAATACATGCTACAGCAAAATTTAACTGTCATTTACCATATTATGGTAAATGACAGTTAAATTTTGCTGTAGCAAGTAGCATTGTAAAAAAGCTCGGAGATTGTCATAAAATTTCGTTTTGAGGTAAAAGTTTTGTTGCTCGTCATTATCAACGTGTGATGTGGCATGTGCCAAATTATTTAATTTTCTGAAAGTTCAAAATTAGAATCGTTCCAATTCTTGTCATTCTGTTCAAGTGCTTGTGCAGTAAGAAAAATGCTTGTTGACATGAATGAATTTAAGAATGTGTCTTGTTGCCAAGTCGTGCCCTTGTTTACAATGTTGGCCGTTTTGTTAAATAGTTTAGGGCGGTTTATTATAATATAGTAAACAGTTTAATGTAATTAAGTTTGTCACTATGTTCAATGTTCATGTATTATTATGTTCTTCACAATATGGGGTCGTTCACATATTACGTAATCACTTTTTGGAACATTTTTACCCCCCCCCCCCCCTCCGTAATCAGTTTTACACGTAGCTGTTGTGTCAAAATTACACTAGCGTAATCATTCGGAAACCCCCCCCCCCCCCCCCCTCAGCTGATTACGTAATATGTGAACGACCCCATATGATTGTTTCGATTTGATTCTTCAAAGTATTGAGTGAACTACATATTTTTGTTTAGCGTTTGCGTCGAGCATCGAAACAATTGGCCCTCAGGGTTTAACCTAAAATCAGCTCACTTTCTCATTTGTATACTGCGTCACTATCATTTTTATTTAAAAAAGAAAACAGCAGAAACATTAATCCTCTTCATATAGCATCAGGTAATGTCTAGTTCCATATCCAGTGTTGCTAGACAGAATGGTAACAAATACTTTCGAAGCGCCGCAGCTGGTGTTGCTCCTGTTCTCCGCATTGAAAGATACCAGAAGGCTCTTAATTGCTATCACAAAGCTTTGGATGGTGCAGTAAACGAGGAGGAGCGAAGTTCAGCATACAAAAACTTAGCTGTAACCACCCACTACATAACAAATCTCTTTTCAGATCAGGTTGAAATCCATCAGGCTTTAATCCATCAGGCTCTGTTTTATTTTAAAGAATGTTTAACCTATGGTAACTTGGCCATCTCTACCGGAAGAGGAATTATGTCAGAAGATTGGATCGGAACAATTGTGGAGAGGCTAGAAACCATTTTCTCTGATATGTTTGACTTAATCGTGTCATTAAAACTGCACCAAAGAATTAAAATTCTTCGTCGATTTTCTTCCGTTCCAGAATCAAAACTTCATCGGGCAAAAATGCTTAAGCAGTTGGTTAAGGACTATTTTCATATCTCTGTTGTATCACTAGGAGAAAACAATTACAAGGAAAGTCTTCGTGCTCTAACTGAACTGTACACTCCTTTAACTAAACTTGAAGAATTTGTTTTCGCCAGCTCGGACGGCGAGTTTATTCTGCAAGTGCAGGATTTCATCAGCACCATGAAAGAAGACGTCTTTAAGAATCGTTGCATATCTGAATGTTTACAAAAACGTATGATCGCAGATCAGCTTCTTGAAACTTATATCTATGATGTTGAAGACCTGGATGTGAATGCAATTTGGCAGGTTATTGATTATTACACGGAGAGTGTCGTTCTGACCCGTGAGAATGATGTGGAACAGGAAGCTATCTCCCTTACTAAAATTGGGATTTTGTACCACAAAGTGCTGCTGCAAAAGAGTAAGGCTAAGGAAGTGCTAATGAGAGTTCTCCAACTTGCTCAATCTTTACAGCCACGAAATCTCAGTCAGGAGCAGTGGTTTAAGGATGCTTCCTCCATACTTTCGGAATATCAAAGGGATCAGAAAAGAAAAGAAGAACAAGAATGGGAGAAGTCAAGAAAAAAATATCTTGACAATTTGGAGCCGAACCTTAACATTCTGAAAGAAAACATGAATAAACTGTCATGCCAGAATATTCTGGTTTGGTTGTACACTGAGCATCCTCCAGAGCATTGTGCCCGCAAGTTTGATGTAGACATTGAACAAATCTCAAAAGCTCCTGGAGATGCTCTGAAGAAGCTTCTAGCAAAGGCAATTGTTTACTATCATCCAGACAAGATTGATACTAAAGCTCACGGTATGGAATATAAAGTGTGGTGCGAGGAAATCACTAAAAATCTTACTGGAAAATACGAGATGATGAAAGGAGTTTAAACCTGGTGCTATTTTGGGATAAGAGAAGAAGGACGAAGGTGATGAAAGAAAGTTTTCGTACAGGGTGGGCCAAAAGTCAGTACCCATACGTTGGACTTTAAAGCTCAGTCACTGAGTGCCCAATTTAAATACTTCCTTCTGGTATGACTTAGTACCACCACTGGTTCGAGGAATTTGTCAACTCGAAAAATATTCGCGTTCATTTTTTTCAAATGGAAGTTCATTTTCACATTTATTTGATAGTTTGGATAGTCGGATCAAGCTAAATATTATTGAATTGTGTTTGGCCATTCGAATTACGTTTGTCCTGAAAGAATTAGAACTGTAGCTTCTCAGATGACCGAGATATGAAGCATAACGAGTTTATTCATTACGTGTGATCAGGTGATTGGTTTACCTAATCACGTGATAAGGTGACCCCGTTAACTACCCCGTTAAACATTATGGGAATTGTTAAGGGTGCCCAATTAAGGTGCCGTGTCACGGTGTCACATAATCACCCAGTCAATTTTGTTAACGAGATACAGAAAATGCTTGATAACTTCGTCATTTCTAATCCGTTTTGCCTCATGTTTTCAGATCATATGCAACATTTGATAATCTACCGTCTCTGAAAACATTAGGCGTTCAGCATGTTCAGAGAAAACAATATAGTACATTACTGCGATGAACAATTGAGTTGATGCCAAGAACAATAATTGATATCAACAATACACACATTTTTTGGCTACTGCGTATCAAAACACTTTCGATTCACCTTTACTTCCTAGTTGAGATACATTCTATTCTCCTCCTGGGGATGTGAAAAGTTTGTTTATGAATTATGCCTGAATCTTTGTTTAGTTTTTTTGCACATTTTTAGACACTTTCATCAGTGAATTTTCAGAGATCATAGCTAATAGATTCACTCGCTTTATTTTTTATTGTTTCATGACTTCTGAAAATTTTAATGTAAATATTATTCAGATTTTATCACTTCAGAATTTTATGTAGATTTTTAGTCAACTTTTCAATTCGTGTAAATATAATTGTATTAATTAGTGATTACAAATTTTTTTAAAACAAAATTAAAGATAATACTGATTGTTTAAAATATTCACATTTTGTTTGTTAAATGTATTATATACATATATCAGAAAATTGTTTGATTAGTATCCTTGTATACTACTGTTTTTATTCTAATACCATGTTTAAAATGAATTCTTATGGCTTTTGTTTATTATAAAGTGGCCATACCAACTTTATCGGCCCAATTTTCTATGAGGCATTGTAATATACAGAAATAAAGGTAGTGGCCAGTTTCCTGATCCACGAACATGGCATGATCAAGAAAACCCCACCTTAGCTAATATATCTAAAATAAAAACGAGAGGGCGCACACGGAGTTGAACCATGGACCTATCGATCTGCAGTCGATTGCTCTACCACTGAGCTATACACCCATACCGTGTACCACAATCCTGTACAATAAAACCCGAATTGTAGAAATCCAAGAGTTACATAATACCATGACTAGTTAAACAGAATAGCAGCTGTGTCTGTAAACTGCGTCTAATTGGGTTTAATTTTAATTTCCACAGTATTTAGTGCTTTTATAGGCCGCTAGATGTTGGGATTGAGTTTTGGCATCATATATTAACTTGAATGATCGATCTACGGCAAAAAGTCTACGGCATCAAAATATGCGAATGCACCAAGTTATCGTTGATCGATCGTTAAAATGATATCAAGTTTCTAATTGAATTTTCGAAATGTTTTGCAAAGATCTACTCAACTAACGAATTAATCTCGCTATCAAGGGATGAGCTGGCATGGCAGACTCTGCGCTAACTTATATCGGAGCACCTCCCTAACCAGAGTAGCTAGACCTGCTTCTCGTTGTAACAACAGAGTTGCTAGAACCACCACAGCAGTTAGGTCTTGTACCAGAGATCATGGCACCGTCGCTCCCCTCCCCCCACCCTTCAAGGTAATTAGGAGCTCAAGAGTCCAGACACAGGTCCTTTGATTTGAGGCTCTAGACTCTGGAAATATCTTTCTAGTTAGGAGAACTGCACTGTTATCAGCAATTTGTATTTTTCAATGTCTTTTGTCTTTATAAACGGAGTATACATTAATATACACTATTTACAATTTTTTTTCTAAGACGTATTATTTAATATGTTATGATACTACAGGCTCAGGAGGCGATCAAGTTAGCAGACCTGAGGGAGGCAGTGCACACAGACAACATAGTGGATGATCTTGTGAGGGACTTGAAATCAGTTAACCCTGATCTCACAGCTAGTGCCACTCATCTCTTCAAAGGTTTGTAGTTTGTTACAGCTCATATAGGATGATCTGTTTTGTCTTCATCGGAAATTGTGTGGTTACCGCACGAATGAGAATGGTAATAATCTCCGATATCTCATAAGTGCGGTAATTGTATTTTCTCCCGACTTTCAGAACAAAAATGAGATTTCCGCTGCTTTATTTATTCCTTCGTTGACATTTCCCAATTGTTCCTGCCATATACCCATGATCTACATATTTTATACCATTTATCTAACCAGAGATAATAAGATTTTACTGTGGCTAACTTGTGACTATTTTCAGGGGGAGGGAAGTATCTTCGACCGACCTGTGTAATGTTGATGGGTGAGTGTTGCAACACAGGTCACCCTCACAATTACAAACAGCGTGAGATAGCTCTTATCACTGAGCTGATCCACGTGGCTAGTCTTGTACATGACGATGTGTTGGATAGTTCTGATACTCGTCGTACCCTGCCCACCGTCAACTCTATGTTCAATGAGAAGGTAGCTATACTGTCTGGGGATTTTATTATAGCAAGAGCTACAAGTAAGTTAGCTAGGCTAGGCTGCAGTGAAACTATTACTATACTGTCCAGTGTGATCAGAGATTTGATAAAAGGTGAGATACATCAACTTAATAAACGATCTGCTAATCACGAAGAACGGCTAGATCTCTACATTGAAAAGAGTTATCTGAAAACAGCTAGTTTGATAGCACATGGGTGTCAGGCAGTTGCTCTTAACAGTGGTCGACCCCACCTTCAAAACGTGGCTTACCAGTACGGTAGAAACATGGGCATCGCATTCCAACTAGTTGATGACATGCTTGATTTCATCTCAACTTCCGAGGCAATGGGTAAAGCTACGGGAGCGGATTTAAAATTAGGATTAGCCACTGCACCAGTGTTGTATGCGTCACTCAAACACCCAAAGTTAATAGATCTGATATCACGTGGTTTTAATGAGAAGGGTGATGTTGAGTTAGCGCTGAGTATGGTGCAAGATAGTAACGGAATAGAGCGCACTAAATCATTAGCACAAATATACTGTGATAAAGCGCTGAGGAATTTGGAGGAGCTGCCTGAGTCGGAGTATAAGACAGGACTGGCAATAATTTGTGATCTGGTTTTGAACAGGACTAGCTGATGATAAACTATTGATTAGCAGTAAATTATCAAATATCATTCACGGTTAGTTTAGATAACGATGTAGTTTTGATTGTTAATTTATTATTACGTTACAGCTTTGAGCATACATACAACTAAGAACTTATTTTATTTCAAAAAAGCCTTTGTAATTTTATTGAAGAAGTAGTTAATGCTATTGAAGGAGTAATTGATAAGGGATTAATTGATGAAGGAGTAATTAATTTACAATGAAGCTGTGAAGCAACTCTAGTGGTGAAGCCTTTTAAATAAGGTAGTGACCCTTACTTAAAACGTTTCCCTTTGACATGCAGTTTATTGCTATCGAGTATCGGCACTCATATATCGAAAGTAATTTTAATTTGGTTCATATTTTGCTGGGCAGCTCTAGCCCAGTCTAAATGTCATGACACAAAAATAACATGTGGATTGTGGACCTTCAAGCATAATTGACAATTATTATGCACAATTATGCACATTAAACCTCATGTTTTAATGATGCATTAGTCTATGTACTGTCAAGCATTTCGTTATGAACATTTCCGCCGTGTTTACGTAATTACAGATTCAAAGGAAATGATGACTTTACCTATGTCTTACTTCCATCCAATAATTACTCCCATTATATTTGTTCTTGGCGCACTTCACTGTAATCATGTCTTGATTATCGTTGAAAAATATTCAAACCTTCCCAGTGAATCATTTTGCACGCTAACTGCATTGTAAGTTTGTCATCACATAATATTTTGGTAAATGTAATAATTTGCATTTCAGATATAATCGTTAATGGCACAGTAACAGTTTTTGTAAGCATTGCTTTCATGTTTATGTTATTATGGATTTCTACACATCTTGAATTTATTTGGCTCAGTTTTTACACCGATGCGTAATCAGTGACCACATTTTCCAGTTACGGCGCTATCATGTAAAGATGATTATACGTTTTCTATTTTCTAATGAAAATGCGTCTTATTCTTCTCTAAATTCAAAGGAATTAAAACCAGTGTTCTAAAAACTCACATGAAATCATTTTATTTATGAATATCAAAAAAGTTTCATTTTATTCTAATAAATCTCTGTCGATGAAATATTTTCGATCTAAGTCTTACTTATCATGTTTTTCAGAATTTAGGATGGACATGGTTATCAAGTAGTTGTTAGTCGTGTCGATGACGTCATCATTCTCCAACCATTGTTATGATGCGTAAGTCTTAAAATCAATATTTGAGTAATCCTTGCTTCTCGTTAAAAAATATTGAAAAGCCAGATTTTTCAGCAGCTAGAATGATAAATAAGGACTGCATATGAGAACTTGAGAAGTGGTTCTATCAGTAGTAGTTTTAGTTTGCCCTACGATCATGATCCCTAGCCTACCGGTATAAAAGTACTAGCATGTGCTTTCTTATCTCTTTAATCTTTAAGGGTGCTGGAATGAGATCTTAGATTCTTATAATCTATAGCTCCAATACTGGTCTTTATATAATAAAGATAATATGACATCTTATTATCATCTTGCATGTAAATCATATTATATAAAGACATGATTAACCTCTTTATCAATCCTATGTAATCCTTTCCATTTGCATCATACAATGATGATTATAACGAGGGTAGCTAATAACTTAAGCGTAATTACTGATTTGGATCTAATTAGCTCCAATCTATAGAGTATACAATGAACAACGAATATTGATGTTAAATGTTAATGCTGTATTTCTGTTCATCTGTGAGTGTGATACACCGGGCAACATGTTCCTTTATTTTCGAAGCATAATCCGATTAAAAAATAATAAACATCAAATAACAGTTGAAAATCCCCCTCTTGTCATACAGATCAAAATAATTTAATTCATTAATCTGTAATAATAAAGAGACGTGTTCTTCCCAGGGGTGATCGAATCTTTGGGTTGATGGACGAAGGACGCGCTTACAAGCTACTCAACGTGAAAATAAAGAATGCCTCCTCACTCTTAAAGAAGGATATTTTCGGACTCAGGTATTTTTAGAAAGTAATGGAAAAATTTTCAGTACAGTACCGTTGATAAGTGAATAGTGGTTTCGAAATATTTGTTGCAAATTTCTGGGTGGCAGACAACTGAACCCAATTGAACCTAGTTCCCACGCAGTTAACAGGCACCCAAATTAACACGCAGTTAACAGGCAGCCAAATTTCTTTCTGGTCACTGCTACAAGGATATAACGATCATGTAACTACCCATTTTCCAGTGACCCGTACTGCAAAGTGTCCCTATGTTCAGAGATCTCATCCGGGCTAAATGCAGACGAAGATACAGTCATCGGGATACCAGCTGAAACCAGGGCCATCAAAAAAACCCTGAACCCCGTCTGGAACGAAACATTCGTGTTCCGAGTCCATCCCTCTCGACAATACCTTCTGTTCGAGATCTACGACTACAACAAAGTTACTCAGGACGATTTCCTGGGACTGTACCGGTACAACCTGTACCAACTACCAGTCAACAATGCTGACAGTAATGTAGACACAGCTCCAGTGCATGACATGGTGTTGAAGCAGCGGAGTAGGAGGTCGAGAGTGCGCGGTATGCTGCACTGTCAGTTCGCGTATGAGGCTGCTGTGGATGCAGATGCGCAGAGTGTGCACTCAGAGCGGTTGATAGAGGAAGATCCTGAGATAAGGGAAGGTCAATGGGAGGTATGCAACTTCTTTATATTATAATTTATCGATGTTATCCAGCGACCAATTTTTTAGAATCTTAACTCCGAAAACGTATACAAGTTTTATGCAATAGCACCTTATTCTTTTCCGATATTTAATGAGACCACAGCATATATTTTCTCAACAGAGTTTACAGAGTATGGACAGTCAGCCACTCCCGGAAGGATGGGAGGAGAGGGTCGACTTCTCCGGTAGAATAGTTTACGTGGACCATGTCAACAGGACTGTCTCCCTGGACAGACCAACTGCACCCGCCGTCGCAGTCATTCAAAGAACACCAAGGTAACTGAGCAATATTAGACCTTGATTTTAAAACCGGTTTCTGAAATGCGATACTCAATGTATTTACCTTTACATACAATTTGAAAATTGTAATCCAATCGTTACTGGAAGTACCAGAATCCCGTTATATTTAGGAACGACAATATATTTTAGGGTTCCAATAGTAGTTCCTCGCTCATTTAGTAGGTAAGACGTGTGTTCCTTAAATTGGACGACAGATTTTCAGCAGCCAAGATCAGAAGCAAAAACACTTCCTCTAACTTATCGATCTAACTTATCGATTATGTAATGTTCGACTCACTCGAAGTTCACTCTTTCTTTTAAAATTATCTATCTTTTTTCATAAATAAGGGAGAAGAATTTGTGTTATTTTTAGTAATCTAAGGGTGAATGGGAATTCACGATTGGGTCACCACTATAATATTATAACAAACTTACACAATTCAAGAATCTCATCCACCAGTCCCCACTGCACTCTACTGCACTCTTCAAGCTCATCCACCAGTCCCCACTGCACTCTACTACACTCTTCAAACTCATCCACCAGTCCCCACTGCACTCTACTGCTCTCTTCAAGCTCATCCACCAGTCCCCACTGCACTCTACTGCACTCTTCAAGCTTATCCACCAGTCCCCACTGCACTCTACTACACTCTTCAAGCTCATCCACCAGTCCCCACTGCACTCTACTACACTCTTCAAGCTCATCCACCAGTCCCCACTGCACTCTACTACACTCTTCAAGCTCATCCACCAGTCCCCACTGCACTCTACTGCACTCTTCAAGCTCATCCACCAGTCCCCACTGCACTCTACTGCACTCTTCAAGCTCATCCACCAGTCCCCACTGCACTCTACTACACTCTTCAAGCTCATCCACCAGTCCCCACTGCACTCTACTGCACTCTTCAAGCTCATCCACCAGTCACCACTGCACTCTACTGCACTCTTCAAGCTCATCCACCAGTCCCCACTGCACTCTACTGCACTCTTCAAGATCACCTACAGTCCCACAAGCGGTTCACTCATCACTTAAACAGTATTCCCGGGGGGCCATTCCCGGTTATCTTGATCCTGACTATGATATTCCGCTTCAGTATAGTACAGCGACAGCACAGCGACTTTGACAACCGGAGACAGATATCTGAGGATGACTTGGACGAGAATTCCAGCATAGTGTCCTCACTTGCTCGTTCCCAGTAAGTAGGACATGTCCACTCTCAAACATACCCCAACTAGCATTCTCAATCCCGCACCGTCACCTAGCAACCAGCATCCTCATCTCACATCGTCAACTAGCAACCAGCATTTTACATCATCAGTTAGCATCCTCATATTATGACATAATATCACTCCATCACCTAGCAACCCGCATCATCAACTCACCCCGTCGCCTAGCAACCAGCAATACATCATCTCAATTCGTCACCTAGCAATACATCATCTCAGTTCTTCACCTAGCAACCAGCAACCTCATCTCACTCCGTCACCCAGCAACCAGCATCCTCACCTTACTCAGTCACCTAGCAACCAACATCTCACTTCTTCACCTAGTAACCAACATCTCACTCCGTCACCCAGCACTGTGTCTTAGTACCTTTAAATCCAGGACACTCTTCACAACCATCAAATGTTTCTGTTTACACTGCTGAGTATTTGTACTATCGGGAATTTAGCCCTTAAAGAATTTAGCCCTTAAAGAACTTTTTACAAAAGAAGCTAAGTAAATCATCCAGATCGGTGCCTGTTCCAGCCCAAGAGCCGATACTAGAATCAGCACCACCGGAGCCAGAAGTAGAAACAGATTCGACCCCAGAGCGCACTCCAGAGCCTACCATTATAGAGCCCATCCTAGAGCCTACTCCAGAACCGGAGCCCCAAGAGGAATCTCCTCTGCCTGACGGTTGGGAACGGACAGTCGACTTCTCCGGTCGGGCAGTTTACGTTAATCACTTAACCCGAGTAGCACAGTTCGACCGACCTGAACCCTCTCAAGTATGGTAAACAAATGTTTTAAATTCATGTCGAGTACACTTTTTACTTAGACTTGATGCTTCAGGCAAAACCAATGACAGTATCACAACGTCTACTAACGCGAACGATCAGACAGTTTTTCATTTTCACAGTCATCTTCTTTTGGGATTGTCTACGCTTTTCAGTGTTGAAACCGGTTGAAACGACATAACATTTTAAATACTTCCATTTTATTATAACGAAAGAATATTTAATAATTACTGTTAAGGACCTTGGCCTTCGATATTGTTAAACAACTTTGGGGCAGTGCAGTGCGTTTGTTCTGGGCTGAAATTGAACGTGTACTTCCCCACTCAATGTACCATATTGAGCTCGCACTATGAATGTTGATAGGAATCAGCCAAATAGACTTCTCTTCCACTTATGGTCATTGTCAATTTTGCTTTGCCCATTTTGCTTACTTTTTGATTTAAATTTTTGAGCAGGTTGATAAAGAGCAATTTAATCCTTTCTGATATCATTTTCATCTGAAGATTCCGAATTTTCTGAATTCTTTGGAATGAAGTTTCTATCTCATGTGGAGCAAAAGTTATGACCTGGTTTTCGATGTGGAGCAAAAAAGTGTGGAGCACCCCAATAAAATCTATGCTTTTTGACTATTTTGATCGCCATTTAACAAATAGATCCTGGACGTTAATTGCAAAATATTTTCACTGGCAAATCATAAAATGGACCTCAGCCAGTGTGGAGCAGTCGAAATATCCTCATATTTTTCGTCTCAACCAGGGGTAAACATTACAGTAGAATCTCCGTCTTTTCACAAAATCTTAGTTTAAAGGAATACGCACCAGATAACATTATCAATAATGGTACACCTTGCTCAACCGATGCGGAGCACGAAACTATTATACCTTAGTTGGGAATACTGATTGGGAAGAAACTGAGTTTTGAAAGTGAGTGTGATTAAAAACGATAAATACATCTAATCAGGCCATAAAAATATCATTTTTTCTTGTGATTATGTTCAGACCCCCTGACTCTATTCTTTGGAACTGCTGATAAACCTAGTAATGCTCAACCATGTGGAGCAGAGGACTTTTACTGCATAACATGACTCCTCATCGGCTGATATGACTTGGATGAGAAATTAGAATGAGTATTTTAGCTTTTACAATAAATTACTAGCAGAACAGATTGAAAAATTGTATTTAATAGGCTCAACCAGAGAGGAGCAGAATGGAATGATAGATTGATAACACAACTATTTGTAAGGATCAGTGTTGTTATATTAGGATAAAGGAGGAATGATATCATCAATACTTAAGAAGCTGTTGATGTATGTAGTACTGTGTCCTTTAAAGAGAAATATGCCACCATAGAAAAAGACAATATGCTCAACCGTGAGGAGCAACAGGCTTTTTCTACGGTAAAAAGAGTCTCCATGATGGTCGATCTGTAGCCAATTTGTACGTAATGCAATTTAAAGTTTACTGATATACTTTAAATACTTTTCTTACCATGATTGGGCCATGATTGATGTTCCAGAACTGTTCAGCCAGAGTGGAGCAGAGCTAGAAATGACATGTCATGTACGGGATTCCTCAACTGCCTAACATTTGATGAAGATCTCTCTTGCATGCGGCTGTAGAATGAAGTAGTGAGCTTCGAAAATCTAATACAACAGAAATCATCTCTGCTCCACACAGGTTGAGCACTGAATAGTTCCCGTGAAGTAAGTTTATTGACCACCAATATTATAACATATTTTCTCTAGAATGAATAAAAATAATATCCCATGAAGCACTTAAAAGTTGTCTCGATTGATCAAAAGGAAGACCTCTTTTTGCTCCACATGGTTGAGATAGGCTGTTCTCGACTAAAGAGTCTGCATCAACGGTGAAAATATAGATACAGGAGTCAAGATGTAAATCACAGAAGTCACTTTATCTCAACCCAGAAAGAATTTAAAAGTTGGCAAATTTTTAACCATTTTGGGCTCCACAGGGTTGAGAGAAGTGTACTGAATATAAATATCCGTTTCAGTACTCAAAATAGAGTTAGTAAGAGTTACCAAGCTAAAAAAATCTTACAGATCTAAACAAAAGCATTATGAAAAGCTAATAAATTACAAATTTACAAATTTCTACATTGCCAAAACCTCGCTCCACGTCGGTTGAGACATGGTGTGTTATCGCAAATAGTCAAAAACTCTTGAGAGGGGTTTCAGCTAAAAAGTTCATAGAGTTTCAACCAAAAACTTGACTGTTTAGCGTATGATTTTTGGTCTTGAAAATTGCCTAACTTTCAAGCTACTGCTCCACACAGGCTGAGCATTAAAAGTTGTCTCAACCGGGGCTTTCTGTGTAGATGGGACCTTTTTCTGAGAGTCTCAACCTGTTTTGACTGCCAGATTCAGTTACCAACGAGATTGCAAAAAGTTTTAAAATGTCACTTTGAAGCACTGATATGCTCCACATTGGCTGAGTAACACATATAGATTACATGTTAAAGTGTCCAGTGAACATTTGTTTCCATCTGGGTGAAATATTAACAAAGGGTGAACACCAGGTGGCATGCTAGCTCACTAAATAGCTCAACCGGTCAAATTGTACCAATTTTGGCAGTCAAATTTGGGCAAAGCAAACTTTACAATGACCTTATCATCACAGTATTTAAATACTACTATAATGCTTTGTGAACGTGTAGTGCATCAAAAGTAGACATACAAATTCTCAGCGCTCTGCAATCAGCATTAGTACAACAACTTAACTTCGATCATGAACCCGAAACTGAACCTGAATCATCCCTGCCACCGGGATGGCACCGCAGTACAGACTCATCAGGTTGTACTGTCTATGTAAATCATGAACAAAGAAGAGTAGAGTATGAACCTCCTGAGCCTATTTTAGCCTATTTTAAACATGACACGAGTCCTGAAAAGGTGGCCATTAAACACATCACAACTAGAAACTCGGGTGGTTCTCGTTTTTCTCTGCTTTGCTTCAACGTACCGTAAAAACGTGATGATCGTACAATGCGAACGCGAACGCCTGATCTTATTAATTTTTGTTTAAAACATTTGAAATCATGAAATTATCCTGCTTATTTGTTCTCATGAAAGCCATTGTCTCATGAAATTATGGAATCAATAAAGCTATCCTGAAGACGGTTTGCTTTCACATAGATTTGGCAGGTCACCGACACCAACGCAACCAGAAAACGGTTGGTACTCACTCTTGAGATCAGAATCAGAACACCCAGAATCACCTGCGGGTGGGTTGCGCGGCCACCTCCCTACTAATAATAACAGTGGTACAGATGGATGGATTTCACACCTCTTTACACCACAACTTGAACCTGAACCTGACCCATTGTCACTACCAGAACCAGAACCAGAACCAGAATTCGAACCAGAGCCAGAACCAGAACCAGAACCAGAACCAGAATTACCTAGAGCTAGGGGATGGGATAACCGAACAAATCTCTCTAACCGTGTAGTGAATGATGAACTGAGGCCATCTCAGTATGACAGTCCTGCCTCAGTGCGGTAATACTTTAGCTTCAGAACTTGATTTTGCAGTTTGTATGTCAAGGGTATTATAGGTATCTAGAGTAAATGTTTATCTTCACCCTTCGGATCTTCTTCTTAATTTTTGGCAGTTGTACTTCTGAACAATATTTTCAATAAAGATTAACTGGAAGCATGCTTGCACGTATGTCGTATTATATGTAGCATTGAAACAGTTCCTTCTCATTCACAGAACCGTCTTAAACACATTTACTGTACCACTTTCTCCCACGGTTGACTTTTTGGTTCGGATGTTAACTCAAAAATACTAAAATCCAAACGAACGAAAATAAGTTTGGCTGATTGGGCGTTAGATTTAAATGGGGTTTATCTGCAGAGTCTGTTGAAATCCTAAGAGAAAAAAAAAGGATATAATTATAGCTGTACTTTTTGTTCATATTTCAGTAATTATCTTTGTGATTTTCTAGTATTTCGTGTCCGAGATAATTTATTGCGAAATTTATTTATTATTTCAATTATGATGTTTATTGATTCGGCTGATTTGAAATCATGTTAGCCTGATTTTGTATTCCAATGTGGCTTTTCAAGAACTGCCTACCGTCCGAACTCTTGCCAACTTTTCATAATATTGTCAATACGTCTTTGCAAACAGGTACATTTCCGTCTCCGCTTAAAAGCAAGCATGTACATTGTACATACATTGTAAAAGACCATGCCTAAAGCCTACCCTAGATGTGAATAATCTGAAGAACTTTAGATCCATAAACAACATAACTTATAACCTTTCTAAGATATTGGAGAAGAAAGCCATCCATCCATTTTGAATAATCTTCCATTTTAAATTTTGAAGAATCTTCTATTTTAAATTTTGAAGAATCTTCTATTTGAATAAAAAATGATTACCCCCAGGGACAGGGTCCGGCTCCAGGAGGGTGAGGAAGATGAAGATTTTGGGTAAGATTATGAGTGATTTTACGATTACTCTTATAATTTCAGTGTTTGGATTTTCTTTTTTGACGTCGTTTCAATTTCTTTTCGCTTTCAAATTTTTAGAAAATTGACTTCCATTTAGTGACACAATAAAAAATTACTCAATCGTGTGACAATTTAAATGCTTACCATCACATTTAGCAAAAGCACTATCTGAAATACAATTTTCTGAAATAGCCCGACTCCCAAATGAAGCATCGCTAACTTTTTCCCAATTATATGAGATAGTCCAAATCACAGTCAACAAGCTGTAGGTTGTACCACCCTGGCCTGGTTCTGGTTGCTTGTTAATCATAATACAGTTTCTGTTTCAGTAAGACAAATTCCGGCTCATAATTAGTAAATCCTCCTCAGTTTCGAGCAGCTGAACATGTCTGAACTAGGACATCAAACACCCCCTCGACAGCAACCCTCCAGCCAGCCCTCCAGACAAGACTCAAGACAGTCCCTAGAGTCTCAAGCCCCCACTGCTCCTTCCGCACTTGACCTTAGTGGACCCGACCAGGTTAGCCTGTGTTCCCTCTCTTTGTGGATGGTTTACAGATTTTAAGTAGATCTCACGAAAGCTTAAATCAGTAAAGAGGTCATAATTTCTAAGTCTAAAGGCACATTGCACAATAATATGTCTCAGGGTTGGTTTCAGCCCCAACTTCATCCCTCATCTGAATCCGATGATTCCCCACAATATCAAGATTATCAATCCGCTGCACTTCCTGCATGTGACGCTCGTGACAAGGTTACTCGTGACAAAATGTTCACGATAGTTGGCTTTGTATGGTGGAATATTGCCAAAACATGTGCTTCCCGCAACAGGTGCGTCGTTACTGGTCAGTGACTAGCGTGGGTACTGACCAAGATCACAAGGGGGTAAATCCCATACCCGGAGACGTTATGCAATGGAGTAAACTAACTTCTCTTAATAAACTTGAATCACCTAATTTCCTCCACAGTCTACTCTACTTGTCGCGATTTGTAAGTTTGAGATTTGAAGTATAACGTCATAATTCACATATCCAACTAGATTATAGACTCGAGAATGCTGCGCGTTCCCACAGCCACATTTTTACCGAATTTTCAGCGCATTTTTTGGCGAATTTAACAGCCCTAAAAATTAAAACTTGAAGTTGTAAATTTGCGAATTATTCGCGTACTTTTTGAGAACTCTTTATACGCCGTACTTTTTGACGAAAATTTGGCGAATTTAACAACCTGACTTTAAAGTGCATGGGATCTTCGATAGTATGCATGTTTGGTGGGATTAAGTTCCACAATCGAGGTCCAATTACTGCAAACGAATTGTCGTAGAGCGTTTGGTTGCGCTGACTAGGTTAGGTTAGCTAATGTTGAGTGCATATTTACAGATGTACAGTAGCTAGATTCCACTTTTCATTTCATTTCATTTAAAATGATTCTCCTTGCTGAATTACTGATATATTCTGATAGCGCTTGCACTGTGCGTTGGTATTCCAGCTGATCGTCTTCTGTTGTAGAGTACAACATTTGCATTGGTATTTGAATCATATAACAGGTCATTAATCATTATAATATCAATGCAGCAAGTACAATAATTATAAAGCTGAGAAACAAATTCCTTCTTGTTTATTTAGATTCCAGAAATACGTGAAAGCTATACAGTTTCCCAGAATTCCGCAAATGCCCAGAATCATGCTTGATATCCCCACAATAAGGTTCACAATTTGAGAAGGACTCGAAATTGTGTCCATGTACGTGCCAGTGTGTTCTTCAAATTTTTGAAGATCTATCTTCAGACCTCGCTGACGAACAGGAAACCTAGAAAACAAATTTTGACAAAAATGACTACATTTTCATCACACTCACTGCAGGGTTTCAAATCAAACAAGGAATGCGGCCACTTTTTTTTTGTGGATGGCCGCTCACTTTCCCGATCCGTGATGGCGTATTTTATCATATTCCATACAACCTGGGGACCCCAGTTTTTACTGTTTATAAGCATGCAGATATGGCGGAGTGACAGGCCGAGCGCCACCAAGTTAATATAATTCCATATTGAATTTGAAAATCGTGTATATTTCTATGTAAACATATACTTATTGTTTATGCAACCTGACACCCGACACGGATCTGTGCAAAATAGTATTAGTAACTCAAAATAATAATAGTATGCTATCAATTAGTGCCTAGTGGGATATGTACATGGTAAAATTAGTAATGTACTTGTTCCGTTCAGCGCCGCGCGCCAACAATTATTTAATTCAGATTATTGCGCAAAATAACTTTGCGCAGGTAGTCACGTGGGCGATAACAGTGCGTGATCGAGCTGAGGGCACGTATTCACGCACGCTCGCACGGTCGCAAAGCTACCATATACAAAAAAACCTCGTTTGCTAACCCTTGTCCTTGACTCTTTTGTGCCTTCGGCACTTTGAGTCATGGATCGGGAAAAAATATTTAAGTAGAGAAACATGCATTTAAAGATCCAATTTAACTATGTTACATGCCTAAATCGTATTGTAAAATGAACTTATACTGTATTGAACACATTTGGAAGGTTGTATGTAGAAACATAGCACGTAACAAGAAACAGTGAACACTATTGGGGAGCCATTAATAATTTACAGCCATTGTGTTACCAAACTTTATTGTTGCACAGATAATTTTATTGATACCATTGTTTTAGTGGTGGCCTTATTAAATGAGTTGATAATTGATTTACTCATTTGATGCGATTAAATACACACCGAATATAAAACTTCAATTTTTACATTCTGCAACTGGGCAGGTGAAGGGAAGCAAAATTCGGGATAAAATGTACGATTCTATTTGCCCAAACGAGCTGTCTCCTTTACGTCAATGGGTTATCGACTTAAATAGTCATTCCATCGATTGGGCAGTCGTTCTAAGCAACCTGTTTTTCTTATTATCTAAAAATTGTAGGTTGATTCAATTTCAATACAAACTTTTAATGAGGATCACAACGTGTAGATACATGAGACATAAGATGAAAATTGTTACAGATACTCCCATGTGTAGCCTGTGTAAAACATATTTAGAAACTATTCCTCGTATTTACCTCCAGGCTCCATTGTATTCACACAAATAGCTTCATCACAATACTTGAAGACTTTATCAAAAGGAAAATCGATAGAAATTACAAAGATCCCACTAAAATTAATTTTATAGTTTGTAATCACACTTCACAAATTATAAATTATTTTAATGTCGTTGCCAAATGGTACATTAGCAAAAAATTTCAGGCAGGAGACATACCGATCTGGCAGGGGTATATCAAACTTCTTAAGCTATCACTTACAGGAGATAAAATAGGTCACAAAATTTCTATTGTGTCGATCTTGGCCGATTAGGGCAATATGTCCACCCCATTTATATTGCTGTCTATGTTATGCATTTTTATTGGTTATTGTTACTATCTTGCAGTACTACTAGCTGTTTTTTGTAGTACATGCCCTGCTTCCTTCCTTTCCTAAATTCCTTACAAACTCCTCCTCTTTTACACCCTTTTCACTCACTTCATTTCACTCATTCACTTCATATCTTATTACCACATTATCTGACAAAACCAACATGGCCCAAGTAGAAGGTGGCCTTGACGTTGTTTCCCACTTGGCCCTGCATCCCACGCTGACGGTCGGCCTCCACTCTCAAAAAAACTTACCTTCAGTGAAGGCCGATGGTCAGCAATTAGCGATGTAAGAGCTTGGTGGGAACAAATCCTGATATGACCTCCTTTTGCACCTTTGGGACGACTCTCGCAAATGCGAGAGGAATGACCCCGGGGAGGGCTAAAATAAAAAAATAAAAAAACACACACCGAACGGCATTGATAAAATTTAAGTACCACCCAAAATAGCAATGCAGTGAGGTTTGGTGGGTTTCATTTTAGCCAGAGAAAAGGGTCGGGATTATATTATCCATATTATGACATCAATTACAACATTCTAGAGCTTCCATTTAATCATATAGACGACGAAATGAAAGCATATAGGAGGAACATATTTGTGATGTTGATACTGCTGTTACCTTGGCAACTCATATTTCAAAAGAACTTCGCCTTAACGTAAACAATGCTCCTTGTCATAGTGTCATATAATTCACCTTAACAAGATAGTGTGCTGACAAGGAAAATATGAAATGGTAGGATGATGCAATTGCCGGCGATCTGGGTTAATTGTTTATGCTTACGCCTTATTGCTTTCATGATTTCACCAAGGTAATGCTACAATAATTACTGTATACCAACCATTTACCTCCCAGACGGAAGTAGAAGAGTCCGGGCAACAGTCTCCACTCCCTGAAGGTTGGACAGAAGCTCAGGACCCTGGCTCTGGTCGACTGTTCTACATCGACCACAACTCCCGGACAACCTCCTGGGTCAGACCCAAGAGCAGGACAGACGGACTGTTCGCAGCATTGGGTCCTCTACCGACCGGGTTTGAGATGCGCTACACCCGCAGTGGACGCCCCTTCTTCATAAACCACCGTACCAAGGAGACAACTTGGCACGATCCCAGACAAGAAGACCCACTTCCCGATGGTTGGGAGATGAGGGTACACTCTGATGGGAGGGTGTTTTACGTGGACCATGCTACTAAGAGTACGCAGTGGGAGGACCCTAGGAAGACTATTGTCTCGTCAGGTCCTGCTATACAGTACAGCAGAGATTATAAAGTTAAATACGAGAACTTTAAAGCTAACCTTCCCAAACCGCCGGTATGTGGATTGTGGAGTATTTATACTTTTAACGTCTAAAATTGTAAGTTATCAAATATTATGACAATCTGTTTTCGCTCTTTTGAGTGGGTCTGGTCGATCATATAATTTATGTTTAAGGACAAAATTTGAAAAAACAGATTGGAGATTCTTACTTTGTCCTAACACATAAATTATTATCCAATATGAGTAAGGACTGTTTAAAAATATTTTATACAATATTGTATAATATTAGAACGACAAGCTGGTGGCTATTTGAGTAGCAAGATCTAGATATACGAGGTCGCTATGTTGCTTTGTTCAATACTAGGTCGCGCTTGATCCGCTTGGATTGTCGAATTGTATGGTGACTTTACAATTACATTCTAAATTTTGTAAAGGCATATCAACAACTTCAGCAATCTACTGGTAAATGTGAGATAAAGGTGAAGAGAACCAACATACTGACGGACAGTATGAACGCTGTCATGCCCAAATCGAAGGAGGAACTTCTCAAGAGATTGTGGATCACTTTCGAGGGGGAACCCGGACTTGATTATGGTGGATTAGCAAGGTTGCCTCATCATTATTGTGTACTTTTGTTGGGAATCTGCTCAGGATAGAATTTGTACTATATATCAGTATTTTATATCAAATATTGCTTCGCAACATTCCCGCTCAATTTCCACCATATCATTCCACCAACTCACAAAACATTACCTAGACTTCGACTCATAGTCCACTTTTCAGGGAATGGTTTTATGCTTTGTCGCGTGAGATGTTCAACCCTTACTACGGACTTTGGGAGTATTCCGCCATGTGAGTACAGATAATTTAATTATTAAAAGTCAACAGAGAATAATAAATAATAATTTATCTTGATAAAAAATCCTGGATTTTAATATCAAGATAACATTATCATTTATTATCATTTATTACTTTCTGTATACATTTAAAAAAATCCACCAGTTTCACAAATTACCGTGACGATCTAATAACTCATGTACACTGTACCTATCGATCATGCACCTTAATCGAAGTAGTCCACTTTAGAATTTAATTAAGTTATAAGAACTTTATATAGAATGAGTTACGTCACCCGTGTAACACAGCAAAGCGTGTGTAGTGTGTGTATCGTATAACCTTGACGTTATGCACCGTGTGTAACATGTGATATGTTACACCATGTAGAGGTAGGTATGTTGGTATGTAGGTATGTAGGTATGTAGATATGTAGGTATGTAGGTATGTAGGTATGTAGGTATGTAGGTATGTAGGTATGTAGGTATGTAGGTATTACAATACAGTGCACACTGTTAGAAGGCCACCTGGTGTACTGTAACTCATCTCTTTTGTCCTACTAATTCCTTTTGTCACTACTTGGCATGTTGTCAACAAATCTGATTAAATACAAATCAGATGGATTTTCACACCGATAATAAATAACGAGCGTAACCATGATCACACCATTAATTTCAGTGACAACTACACTCTACAAATAAACCCAAACTCTGCGATAATTGAACCAGCTCACGAACGGTTCTTCTACTTCTTCGGCCGGATCTGTGCTATGGCGGTGTACCACGGCAAACTTGTTGACGGTACGTGATTTCCTTGTTGGGATAGAAATTCCAAAACCATGGTCCCATTTTCCTCTGCTAAATTAAATCGATTTACTTTCTTTGTTTAATGTTTATTCAAGTATAATTAGTTGATTATGTGAAATGCCAGGGTTCTTTATTCGTCCGTTCTACAAGCTGATCCTTGGGAAGCCTATCACTCTGGATGACATGGCAGAATTTGATATAGAAACCTACAACAGTTTGAAATGGGTTATTGACAACGATCCGGAGGATTTATGTCTTACTTTCAGTGCTCAGGAGGACAAATTAGGAGAGGTTTGGTTTTTATCTATTTATTTGGCCTATTAAATAGTGCAGAAACGACTAATGGAATTTCAAGTCGCTATAACTCTATAACGCGATGCAGGCTGACCTACTTTACCTTTGATGCCTCAACTCCAACCCGTAGTATTTTGTCATTGCTGTAAAAGTAAACAACTCATTTTATTTTCAGATGGTCGAAACTCCTCTGATACCGAATGGTGAGAATATCGAGGTTACGAACTTCAACAAAATGGGATATATTAAGTGAGTTATTTTTGTGTTCCCGGGAATCGCTGCCCCTTCTCCTACACTCGGAACAAAGTACAAACCATGTTTCAGAGAAAAATTGTTATTCCCAATCACTTGTGAAGATATCTCCCTCTCTTTCTTTAGTTTTGAAAGATTTTCATAATAATAATCTTTTTCAGGGATTACATCAACTGGAAGTTCGTAAACCGAATAACTGATCAAGTAAGGAGTTTTAAGGATGGTTTTAACGATGTCATCCCCTTACGGAGCCTCGCTGTAAGTCAAAACCCAAAAGCGATTTAATCTCTTGGTGACGCGATTCTACTCACGTTTTTCTTGAAATCTCTATTTATTATCTTACAAATTAGTGTAAACAAACAACATATTATTCCCAGGTGTTTGACGAGAATGAGTTGGAATATCTGATGTGTGGGATCACACAGATAGACGTAGAGGACTGGGCTACCTACACGGACTTTAAGGGCGGATTCTCTCCCACACACCACGTTGTTGTGTGGTTCTGGAAGGTAATTTAAAATGCGAAAATGATGTAAAAATGCGCTCGTTCAAGCGGGACCAGGAGTTGGACTTTCTGTTCCATTTGTTCCGCGGAACAATATTTGACGAAAGTCGATTATCTTGAGATCCTACTGATAAATTTTCTTTAAACTTTCCAGATAGTTGTATGGCTATGAGACGGATATTCTGTGCGATTTTGTGCGAATTTCTATGTGCCAAACCTGATATATGACTTCAAACACAAGAAAATATCTCAAAATGGCGGTTTGTAGCGGAACGCAGGCACATATTTCGAGATCCTACTGATAAATTTTCTTTAAACTTTCCAGATAGTTGTATGGCTGTGAGACGGATATTCTGTGCGATTTTGGGCGAATTTCTATGTGCCAAACCTGAGATATGACTTCAAACACAAGAAAATATCTCAAATTGGCGCGTTCTAGCGGAACGCAGGCACATATTTCGAGATCCTACTGATAAATATTCTTTAAACTTTCCAGATAGTTGTATAGCTATGAGACGGATATTCTGTGCGACTTTTGGTGAATTTCTATGTGCCAAACCTGAGATATGACTTCAAACACAAGAAAATATCTCAAATTGGCGCGTTCTAGCGGAACGCAGGCACATATTTCGAAATCCTACTGATAAAATTTCTTTAAACTTTCCAGATAGTTGTATGGCTATGAGACGGATATTCTGTGCGATTTTGGGCGAATTTCTATGTGCCAAACCTGAGATATGACTTCAAACACAAGAAAATATCTCAAATTGGCGCGTTCTAGCGGAACGCAGGCACATATTTCGAGATCCTACCGATAAATATTCTTTAAATTTTCCAGATAGTTGTATGGCTATGAGACAGATAATCTGAGCAAGTTTGGGCGAATTTTTATGTGCCAAACTTGAGATATGACTTTAAACTCATGAAAACATCTCAAATTGGCGGTTTCGGAACGATATTTGACGAAAGTCGATTATTTTGAGATCCTACTGATAAATTTTCTTTAAACTTTCCAGATAGTTGTATGGCTATGAGACGGATATTCTGTGCGATTTTGTGCGAATTTCTATGTGCCAAACCTGATATATGACTTCAAACACAAGAAAATATCTCAAAATGGCGGTTTGTAGCGGAACGCAGGCACATATTTCGAGATCCTACTGATAAATTTTCTTTAAACTTTCCAGATAGTTGTATGGCTGTGAGACGGATATTCTGTGCGATTTTGGGCGAATTTCTATGTGCCAAACCTGAGATATGACTTCAAACACAAGAAAATATCTCAAATTGGCGCGTTCTAGCGGAACGCAGGCACATATTTCGAGATCCTACTGATAAATATTCTTTAAACTTTCCAGATAGTTGTATAGCTATGAGACGGATATTCTGTGCGACTTTTGGTGAATTTCTATGTGCCAAACCTGAGATATGACTTCAAACACAAGAAAATATCTCAAATTAGCGCGTTTTAGTGGAACGCAGACACATATTTCGAGATCCTATGCTGATACATTTTCTTTAAACTTTCCAGATATTTGTATGGCTATAACAGTCCTCCATTCCTCTTCATCCTTCTCCTCCTCAGTCCTCCTCCTCCTTCTCCTCCTCAGTCTTCCTCTTCCTTCTCCTCCTCAGTCCTACTCCTCCTCCTCCTCCTCCTCCTCATTCTCCTCTTCAGTCCTCCTCATCCTCCTCTTCCTCTTGATTATCTGTCTAATAGCCCTCCTCTTCAGTCCTCCTCCTCCTCCTCTTCCTCCTCCTTCTCAGTCCTCCTCCTCAGTCTTCCTCCTCCTCAGTCATCATCCTCCTCCTCCTCCTCGGTCCTCCTCCTCCTCGTCAGTCCTTCTTCTCCTCCTCATCAGTCTTCCTCCTTCTCTTTCTCTTCCTCCTCAGTCCTCCTCAGTCCTCCTTCTCCTCCTCCTCCTCTTCCTTCTCCTCCTCCTGTGTCCTCATCCTCCCCCTCCTTCTGAGTCTTCCTCCTGAGTCCTCCTGAGTCCTCCTCCATCTGAGTCTTCCTGATTCCTCCTCCTCCTGAGTCCACACCCTCCTGAGTCCTATTCCTCCTCCACCTCCTCCACTTCCTCGTCCTCTTCAGTCCTCCTCCTCCTTCTGAGTCTACCTTCTCCTACACTTCCTCCTCCTCCTCAGTCTTCCTCAGTCCTCATCCTCCTCCTCCTCAGTCCTCCTCCTCCTCAGTCATCATCCTCCTCCTCCTCAGTACGCCTCCTCCTCATCAGTCATTATCCTCCTCCTCCTCATCCTCCTCCTCCTCTTCCTCCTCTTCCTCCTCCACCTCAGTCCTCAGTCCTCCTCCTCTTCCTCCTTCTCCTCCTCAGTCCTCCTCCTCCTTCTCCTCCTCATCAGTACTCCTCCTAAGTCTTTCTCCTCATCCTCTGTCCTATTCCTCCTCCTCCTCCTCCTCCTCCTCCTCCTCCTCCACCTCAGTCCTCAGTCCTCCTCCTCTTCCTCCTTCTCCTCCTCAGTCCTCCATCTCCTTCTCCTCCTCATCAGTACTCCTCCTAAGTCTTTCTCCTCATCCTCTGTCCTATTCCTCATCAGTCCTCCTCCTCCTCAGTCCTCCTCCTCAGTCCTCTTCCTCCTCATTCTCCTCTTCAGTCCTCCTCATCCTCATGCTCCTCTTCCTCTTGATTATCTGTCTCATAGCCATACAACTATCTGGAAAGGGGGATCATGTGTATTTTCAAAGTCTTCCTCCTCCTCAGTCATCATCCTCCTCCTCCTCAGTCCTCCTCCTCCTCGTCAATCCTTCTCCTCCTCCTCATCAGTCCTCCTCCTCCTCCTTCTCTTCTTCCTCCTCGTCAGTCCTCATCAGTCTTCCTTCTCCTCCTCCTCCTCTTCCTCCTCCTCCTCCTCAGTCCTCCTCCTCATCGTCAGTCCTTCTCCTCCTCATCAGTCCTCCTCGTCAGTCCTCCTCCTCCTCCTCCTCCTCCTCCTCAGTCCTCCTCATTCTCCTCGTCCTCCTCCTCTTCTTCAGTCCTCCTCTTCCTCCTCCTTCCCCTCCTCAGTCCTCCTCTTCCAGTTCTCCTCCTTCTCTCTCCCCTCCTTCTCATCAATCCTCCTCCTCAGTCCTCCTCAGTCCTACTCCTCTTCATCCTCCCTCCTCAGTCCTCCTCAGTCCTCCTCCTCAGTCTTCCTCATCCTCATCCTCCTCTTCCTCCTCAGTCCTCCTACTCCTGAGTCCCCCTGAGTCCTCCTCCTCTTCATCCTCATCCTCCTCCTCCTCCTGTGTTCTCATCCTCTTCCTCCTTCTGAGTCCTCCTCCTGATCCTCCTGAGTCCTCTCGAGTCCATCTCCTCCACATCCTCCACTTCCTCGTCCTCTTCAGTCCTCCTCCTCCTCCTTCTGAGTCCACCTCCTCCTACACCTCCTCCTCCTCCTCAGTCTTCCTCCTCCTCCTCCTCCTCCTATAGCCATGTAACTATCTGGAAAGTTTTAAAAAATTCTATCATTTAAATCTCCAAATATATGCCTTTGTTCCGCTAAAAACCGCCAATTCGGAGATATTTTCTTGTGTTTGAAGTCATATCTCAAGTTCGGCACATAGAAATTCGCCCAAAATCACACAGATTATCCGTCTCATAGCCATACAACTATCTGGAAAGTTTAAAGAAAATGTATCAGTAGGATCTCGAAATATGTGCCTGCATTCCGCTAGAAACCGCCAATTTGGAGATATTTTCTTGTGTTTGAAGTCATATCTCAGGTTTGGCACATATAAGGTTGCCCAAAATCGCACAGATCATTCGTCTTATAGTCATACAACTATCTGGAAAGTTTAAAGAAAATTTATCAGTAGGATCTCGAAATATGTGCCTGCATTCCGCTAGAAACCGCTAATTTGGAGATATTTTCTTGTGTTTGAAGTCATATCTCAAGTTTAACATATAAAAATTCTCCCAAACTCTCACACATTATCCGTCATATAGCCATGTAACTATCTGGAAAGTTTAAAGAAAATCTATTTGTCAGATCTGGAGAAAATCAAAAATATATTCTAAGTTATTCACTAAAACACTCGATTTTCGAACTTTTTATTTGGAACAGATTTGTCGAAAGTCCTTCTGTTGGACTTTCTGTTCCATTTGTTCCGCGGAACAATATTTGACGAAAGTCGATTATCTTGAGATCCTACTGATAAATTTTCTTTAAACTTTCCAGATAGTTGTATGGCTATGAGACGGATATTCTGTGCGATTTTGTGCGAATTTCTATGTGCCAAACCTGATATATGACTTCAAACACAAGAAAATATCTCAAAATGGCGGTTTGTAGCGGAACGCAGGCACATATTTCGAGATCCTACTGATAAATTTTCTTTAAACTTTCCAGATAGTTGTATGGCTGTGAGACGGATATTCTGTGCGATTTTGGGCGAATTTCTATGTGCCAAACCTGAGATATGACTTCAAACACAAGAAAATATCTCAAATTGGCGCGTTCTAGCGGAACGCAGGCACATATTTCGAGATCCTATGCTGATACATTTTCTTTAAACTTTCCAGATATTTGTATGGCTATAACAGTCCTCCATTCCTCTTCATCCTTCTCCTCCTCAGTCCTCCTCCTCCTTCTCCTCCTCAGTCTTCCTCTTCCTTCTCCTCCTCAGTCCTACTCCTCCTCCTCCTCCTCCTCCTCATTCTCCTCTTCAGTCCTCCTCATCCTCCTCTTCCTCTTGATTATCTGTCTAATAGCCCTCCTCTTCAGTCCTCCTCCTCCTCCTCTTCCTCCTCCTTCTCAGTCCTCCTCCTCAGTCTTCCTCCTCCTCAGTCATCATCCTCCTCCTCCTCCTCGGTCCTCCTCCTCCTCGTCAGTCCTTCTTCTCCTCCTCATCAGTCTTCCTCCTTCTCTTTCTCCTCCTCCTCAGTCCTCCTCAGTCCTCCTTCTCCTCCTCCTCCTCTTCCTTCTCCTCCTCCTGTGTCCTCATCCTCCCCCTCCTTCTGAGTCTTCCTCCTGAGTCCTCCTGAGTCCTCCTCCATCTGAGTC